ACTGTCAAGGCTTGGGCCAACTGTACAACACAGCTTAGTGAGGCTCACGCGTCTACCCAACCAACTGGCGTGCTGCGAGAGCCTGAATACCCACATATGGAAATGTCGAATTTTGGCCTCTGACGAATATTCAGGCCCGCCTTCACTTAGGGCGGGCACTCAGCTTGCTGGGGGCCTTAGCCAGAACATGTGATGTCTGATAGGGCCCCTTGAGGGCTTGTTCCTCACAGTTTACATTACGGCGGTCACAAACAGGTGTCTTTTGCAATCGCCATCATCTGTGTTCGTGCATGATCCTCAGAGTGCCTGTGGCAGCCCTGCGGGTATTCAATACCCTTCATTAATTTATGGAGGTAAATTAAGGTTGGGTATTTGGCACCTACATCTAATCATCACTACATATTTATGTAGGACCCTGTCGAAAGATGTATCTAATGTCATCACCATAATTTATGTACCAACTTGTATACGATGATTTTTATCAGTTCTTTCTGGCCTGGGTTTCATCCGTGACTATGTACGAAATCCAACCGGCACCCTTCGCCACAAGAACCAGGTCTCTTATCCTCTACAGCCATGGCACAGTGTAAGAAAGTGGAACCATAGAGACCATGATATCCACCCCACCTCTGCATGCCTGTAGTGTCCTACTCACTCAAATCCACACACAACACCACACAGGAACGACCACACACAGGCAATTGTAGCACACTTCGCTCTCGTCCAGCACATGACGCCCACCACTCCCTGACGTGGTCATGATACGATGATGTCAGCGCCGCTATCCCCAATTCTCAGCTTCAACCCCCTTATCAATTTGTTCACACCAGGGTTGGACTGGTTGGCACTGGGCGCGACAGGCAAACCTCTAGAGTCTAGATGTTTACTAATGTTGGTCAATAGGTGGTGTCATTTTCGGCGAAATTTCCACTGAAACTGCCATATTTCCCTGAATTTTTGCTTCTTTTTTTTTTTTTTTTTGCGTGTGTGTGTGTGTGAGATATGTATGTGCTTTCAGGTATATCTGTATATGTATTCAGTTTCGACGCATTTGGATCAGTAACGAAAAAGTTGGCAAAAACACCGAATTCAGCGAAAAAATTGGCGAACTTCGAAAGCTACTCCGAATAGGGTTCTATATAAATTTATATTGCTTTTGAGTTTTTTTCCCCCCGTTTATTTTGCCTGTTTTTTTTATTTTTTTATTTTTTATGTTTGTATCAGTGCTGAACTCCGGGCCGCCCGGCGCCCGGCTCGTCGCCCGGGTGGGGGGCCGGGCCGCCTGGCCGGTCGTTCCGCCCGGTTGGCCACCGGGCGACCCCAGCGCATCGACGAGGAGGGTTTTTTTTTTTTTTTTTT